TCACACAAACAAATGCACATCATAAGAATAGTGTATTCTTGTATGAAACAGAAATGTTGGATTTACATATTTTACCAGGACAGTTTCTTCAAGAATAAAACCAAGACAGCTTAAGATATTCCGCCCAAAATACAGTAGTAGTGTCCTATGTATTTGTATTTCCATCAGTTTTAATACTGATAATTCTGTGCAGTATTTTCAAATTTTGTCCGAGACGTTTTCTTAACTTAACTATTCTACCAAACTTTGCGTGACGTGACGGTAACGGTTGCAGGCGAGTCCTGGCAAAAGGTTATTGCTTTTAACAAAGAAAATCCCATTCCAGAGAAACATTTTTAAAATTCCTTATTGAACATTCCATCTTATTCAAGTCACATCAATCTCTAAACAAATTTTTTTTAAATAATAAAAATAATAAATGTTTTGTTCTTAAGACAAAATTGAAACCAGAACAGTGCATTTTCCTTTTTAAATGAAGATTTCCAGAAGATATATAAGAAAATAGAATTAACTATAAAATACTCACAATATTCCTTGTTAAAGTGTAAAGATCTACAGGTAATTTCTATAATGGACTCAACAATATCTGTAACAATTACACAAGACAGGGGGGGTTATTGTAGGAATATTTCCGCTTGACACTTTTTTTGCAGTATTCCTAAGAAATATGACAATATATCAATGGGAATTACAATATGGACAATTACATGTGCATTGAGACAGAGTACAGACATATCGCCTGCTGAGAACAATAGTGACGTAACTCAGAAATCACGGTTTCGAGAAAAATGCCTTCGAACTTTTGGCGTAACTTCAATCTTTCATTCCTCGTCCGCCACACAACTTATTCGAGTGATTCCTTTTACTCTATTCACAATATGCTTTGAATTAATGTAATTTGTAAGTTTTCTGCTTCCGTCTTACGTCTCTCGTGCATGAAGAGATGGAGCGAAACCTTCATGACAATAGTGGCGTTTGTCGTTACCTAGCGGCATGGAGCGGACCTACACTTCCGCATGATTTCAAGGTGAATGTTGCAAGTCTATGGACATAACTCAAAATTCTGAGCTACGTCACTATCATTCTCAGCAGGCGATATGTAACATTATCATATACTTATCTATAAACTCATTTCTCTGTGGGATCAATTTAAGTCTCATCAATCGTCGTCAGCTTAGGATGTTGACAGTCTGTTGATTGTCTGTGACATGGAAGGATTGTTTTTCTGTCATAAGAAATGTAAATAGAATGACTGAGGCACTGTTCTTTTGTTTTGAGCATCAAAATGATGTTGCCTTGGTTTACATTTTGTGCAGAAGGCTTTTTGAAATTTGGATAAATACACTGTTATTAGCTAACAAATTACTTAACCTTTTTAGGAAAGTTTATGAAATTGTACTTTTGAATAGGTCAAATCTCTAATATAATGCTGGAAACACAGCTAATATGAAGTATGAAGTCCACACATAAATCTTATTACTAAGTGTCATCCAGTTATGGTGTAATTATAGAAAAAACATGAGGGCTGCTCCTCATAGCACATGGACCAATACAGACTGATGGGGCTTGATTTTCCACATAGTTATATCATATAAAAACAGCATCTATAAACATTTTGGAAAAATTACACTCGATATAAAAACTGCTAAGATAAGTTATATCTTAGAAATAGACTGTCAGCAATAGCTGTAAAACAGAGAAAAATACCAAACAAATTCTTTTTCTTTCTTTCTTTCTTTCATTTGCCATACAATCACAACAATTGTATATCGTACATAATAATATTATATTACACTCTTACATAAGAAAACACAGTTTAAAACTAAAAAAGTGACACCATTATATTTAGTATCATGAAATCACAAATAATATTCATGTTAGATATCCCACAATTTTCTTGGGACAAAATGGCTTACATTATTTACAAGGCACTTTCTTATTTTTGTCAGCTGTGTACATTAACATTTTTCAAATACGCTTTCCACATCTTCTCCTATATTGCCTGAAGCCGAGGCAAAACACGAGAAAACGAACAATGTCAGAACATTTGTGACCATAGATTCAGAACATTTAACAATGCCAACAGCTGTATTACAGTTTTTCTTTCCAATCTTCAAAAACAGTAGACTGAGTTAAACTGCCGTCCACCAACAAGAAACAAGACGTGACATATAGACTTTCTTATTAAAAGGACGTTTCTCCAAATGTTTTAACAGAGAGCATTTTAAACTGTCGACCAATCAGTCCTCTATCACTTGCAAAGAATCCTGCAGCAAATGCCAATGGGTGAAATGACGACTGAATCTCGTATCACCTTAATACAAGTTTGAGGTTATAACACTTTAGGCCGAGCATATTTTTTGTGAATGATATTTAGAAAACCGGTCTGCATAGACAGACAGTGTGATTTGTTACTGGATATGTATAGTTTGTGTTGTTATGTCCAGACTTGTCAGCCAACTACTACTGAGTCATACCACAGTTGCAGGATGGTGGCAGTTGTCAGTACTTGAGTCTCAAGGTTGTTGCAATCACGTGACAGCAAATCTGACCAATCCCTTCAGTCATCATCCTTCTTCTCTGGCTTCAAGTCCACCATTGCATGAAGCTCCTCTGGAGATATCCTGCAACATTCCAGGGCATTACTGAGCGAAGAATAGTGCCCTTATTGTGATTTTCCTGTGGCGCACTTTTGTGGCCTTCCCGTGATCATGACAACGTCCTCCAAACTTAGGATGCTGCAAGCTGCCCTGAATTTACAAAGCCACAGGTGAAATCTCCTTCGAGACCCTCTGTTCTGATCATCCGTTTATTCATTCTTTCATCCGCTCGCAACCAACCGAATCAATTCTACACGACCACAGAATGAATCATGAAAGATTCTGCTTTATCCTTTTACATGCAGTATTTACTGGAACATACTGAAATATATTTATCATGATAAATTACTGTTTAAGTACTCACCCCATCAAACTTTGCAGGTCACACACAAAACGGTATACATAACGTTTGCCTGCTGTCTTGTGGATTATGTTCTTATCATAATAATATCGCAGTCCACGGCTCAGTTTCTCGTAATTCATCTTGGGTTTGTTCTTGCGGATTCCCCAACGGCGTGCTACCTCATCAGGATCGGTCAGTTTGAATTCCCAGCCATCACCCGTCCAGGAAATGAAGCCCTGGCATGATTTGTCTGTGAGTAGCTCCAGTAGGAATTGCCACAGCTGAATTGGACCTGACCCTGTGAAGCATGGCCCACCGCCTGCTCGAATTAGTATTCACAGCAAACTTTAAAGGAACGCATTGATATATCAATGTAAATACCAATATCAAAGTATCTAATAGTTTTTATGAACGATGTGGGAACTGGGGTAGATCAATTAGTGTAGTGACTATGGACTGGAAGACCAGGGTTTGATCCCCAGTAGGGATAGAAGATTTTTCTTTCATCTCCGCCTCCAGACCATCTCTAGGGCCCACCCAGCCTCCTATCCAATGGGTACCAGGGGCAGTTTTACTTTATAAAACAAAAACTTTCGGTCTGAAATCGGTCTCAGAATCCCTTCATTCTCTTACGGTCATTTCAGTAGGAACAGGCAGGTTAAATCCACAAACCACCTTCAAATATTACCACATTAGGGCTTGATAAAAACTACGTAAAGTTTCTGTCAAAACAGTCGCATCCAGAATTAACTCCTGGGAACTTCAGAGCGTGAGTCAGGGGCGAAATGCCGTTCCATGCGAGGGCTTTCAACGTCAACGTGGTACGACGATTTGCCCAAGTATCTGTACGCAGATTTTTCGAATCGATGCTGCCTAAAACACTAACCTGACTAATCTCATATAATGAAATACGTGGCAATGTCGTTCAATAAACGGGCCTAAAGTTACGTCGTATGACAAATAATAATGACCATCTCGTATTTCGCAGACCCCGGATTCAAATCTCGGCCTGAAGAGTGGTTATTCTGATTATATCTTACGTTATATTACCCAATTCTCTTTAGGAAAACGTTGACGCAAGACCTTAAATAAGGCTACAACTGGAAAAGGTCTGCATGAGCCAAAATTTACGTATGTTTATCGGACCCGAGGACCATCTGGCCCGTCCCAGCCCATACCAGAAGTTTATCTTTAAATTTGTTACCCGGACCTCACTTAAGCCCGACTTTATTTAATACCAGCCAGATCTTTTAATGCAAAAATGTCATTAATCCCTGAATGAACTTTAAACGACGGTCTAAAAACATCTGAGACCATTTTTGACGTTTGAGAAACGATACAAAGATACTGGATGCCAAGTTTTTAAGGTGTTGTCTCGAATTATTTCTGGAAGAGGGCAGTTTCGAAAATTTCCAAGGAAATCGAGTCGACGGGATTTATTTCCGGAGATGGACTGTCACAATCATACGGTGAACGCACAAACGAATAATATTTTTTGTGGGAGAAAAAAATAATGGCTCCAGAAAGCGCGAATTATCCCTTCTGACTTATTATCAGGGCAGCGTCCAATTATAACTCGTACGGACGAGTGCCTACCCTCTTCGACATCAAGTGGGATTCCCAGGTCAAGGAAAAGTCTGCTGTATGGCGGGAGAACCCAGAAGACTGCCCCATTCTAATTTCAAACCTGATTAGCCACATTAAACGTGAAAAAGAGACACACAGATTAACTTCGTTTAGCCAAACAACATACTGTAGTACCGAAACAAAAATTAAGACAAAAATGATACCATCTTTTTCTCTGGCCACAAGACGCAACGAGGTTTTACGAAGTATTTCCTAAGAAAAAATCGCATGGAATGTAAACCATTCTGCTACCGCTTCTAGATTCTTCAGTTCGTAATTGCTAAATTTTGATTAACAGTCGGGGTACAAGAACAAAGACCTTGAACCGAATAGGCGTTCATCTGACGTCACAGCAACTAGAAAATTCAGTTCCTACGTGACACAAAAATAAAGTAACGCGTCACAATTACAAAGATCAGCTGACTAACGCTGTTTTAAGCAACGACTTTGAGGTACTCTCAAATTTGGGTCAAATATTTTGAATTGCGGTCTCATACATGGGACAATTTCTCTTTTTAAATGACCGTCACTCAATCAAGATTAAAGATGACCAAGGTACTCTCAAAGACGGGCCAAATTTATTGACGACTGTCATTTGTTCAACATCAGAAGAATTAAAACTGTTAACGTAAGTTTACGACTTGTTATTCCATATTCATCCAGGCCTAAAGGCAGGAATAAGTTACATTTATAAACTTTTTCTGCAATATTAATTATAGTAATAGGATGAGTCCGTTGATATTATGGTCTCAGATAAGTCTATACCAAACCCTGAAGATGAGGAAGATGGGTTGATGAATATCTTGCACTGGTGGAATGACTAGGATAGGAAACCTAACCTAACATAACTGTGAGAAGCGCCTACCTGAGTTATGGGACACCATTCCTGCAATATTACAGACTATTTCATCTGTTTTGTCCTTTTACATCTTAATACAAAAAGTGAGAGAAAATTATCATATCAGGCCTATACAAAAACTAATTACAGGTAGCCCTCGATTTGCGTCGATTCAAAATAACGCCGATTTTGAAACCAGCAAGTCGAAAAGTGAAAAAAAAAATTGTTACAATGTATCTCGTACTGAGTCTTATACTAAATCGTAATTCTTACATCGCTGATTTTCAATAAAAATCATAAATACAGTCATCTCTGCAATTACGTTTGTTTCGTTAACGCGAATTCGATGAATCGGTAAAAGCTGTTCGTGAAATGCAAACTTTTGTATATGAGAGTTTGCTCTTATGTAATTTCATTCCTCGCGCTTTAAACTTTCAAAGGACTAATCTAATCTCTGCGGAGGTACCGGGGTTATTTTTACTACGTGATTTTCTGTAGGTCGGCGTCTTACATAAATGCAACTATCCCATAAGAGCAGAGATGACTGTACACATCAATCACATGAAAGAATCGAGGGGACCAACGAATTGCCGATTGTAAATGTATAAAATATACTTTTTAAAACATTTAAAACAACAACATGAAAATTTCCCTCTAAACAAATGACAGCTCCGGTCTACAATCACGAGGTCAAAATCGAAGTCTGTCTGGAAAAACCGGACACAGGAAGAATAACTTTTTTTTTACCTACCGGAGTACCCAGCAAGCATTGAAGACTGATGCACTGGTTTTGTGTCACCATTGGGGGTAACCGCGTGGCCTAGGGTGTCCCTGCCTGGACCAGAATGCAAAAAGGCAGGGTGAGGATGAGGTCCTCCCTGCCCCATGTCAGGGCCTGAACCCCAGTGATCCGGTGCGCTGTTTGGAACGGTCTGAAACGGCGAAGAGTCATAGGGAGAACTATAAGAATCACTGTAGGCTTCTTGATGAGAATAACGACCTGTAACAGAAGACCAGTGTCAAGGCATGAGTCCACGAACAAACATGGCCAAGGAGAACTTTTGGTGATGGAAAGTAAACATACTATGTAACTAACCTGTAACAAACTGTCCATATACAAGGAAATGAATAAACAAACAAACAAACAAACAAACAAACAAACAAGAACATTCTGTAATTAAAGCTGAATGCCCTCTACCGACAGAACATGGACCTTTAAACAAACTTAATACTTTATAAACAAAGATTTTGACATAAGAACTGGCACATTTAAAGTGCAGACGTTTCTGTGACAAGCCGTCGTGTAAGTTTGTTGGATACTCCTGAGCCTAATTTTAAAAATAAAACATGTCGGTGACTTTCTCGGATCTGTCTGCCAAAGAGGAACATAATTTTGTGTACCAATTATCCAGGACGCGCCATTATAGAGATCGAAGTTTTTCAACACCCGTGAGTAATTTCAAAATTGACAAAAACATAATTTACCCACGGTTGTCGCTTCAAGAGAAATCTCCCCCTCTCCCACTTACAATTTTTCACGCGCCATCTGGGAGAAACAGAATGGACCACTGAATTTAGGCTACAGGCCGGTGGATTGAAGAGTCTATTTCACAATGACGTTTTACTTATCTAAAGATGTAGGCCCACAACTGTGCTATCAGTACAGCTAAGTAAAGACGCTATTCAGGAACTATTTTCTTGGACGACGTCTGAACTGGGTTCACTCGCGGAGTTTTCTGACTGATATAAAATTTCTGGTACAGAAACTATGCGACCCAAGCGGCCTTCTATCCACCGGGTATCAAGGGGGCTCTTCCACCGGGATAAAGCGGCCCAAGCGTGAAGCCGATCATCGCTTCCACTTAACATCGACATTTAAAACGCGTGGAGCTAAAACTCCAACTCCCTCTTCGCCTCCATGGCCTCACGCATAGGGAGAATTGTCGTTACATCGTAATTCTGCTATTATCTTCCTTCGTTAATTGGTCTCAATTCCTTACTAAGGTACTACTAACTCCACGAAGCAAGGCCCTTCTTAAGAAGCTATTAGTACGCCCAGCTAGTCAAGAAATTTCCTGCCTCATAACAGTGTGTGCAAGATCACAGATTAATCCAATCCACAGCCCCAAACCTCTTTCCTTAGGATCTATTTTAATATTATCTTGACATCTAGGCCTAGGTATTTTGAGTGGTCTGCTCATTTCAGGCTTTCTAACCAAAACTGAGTACGCATTTTTTTTTCTTAAAAACGTTCAATGTGTTCTTCCATGAACGTGAGGGACCTGATTTCACACCCATACAAAGCAAGAAGTGTAAAATTAGAAACGTTTTATCCACGTTTACTTCTAGACAAATGTGCATCTACGGAAGAGTCTAATAAAACTTCTGGGCTTTTCTTTAAAATATATGTTTTCACCCAACAAACACCATCAAGAATAGACCCTAGCGGAGGTACGCCGTATTATACATAGTCTGTTGAAAATCTGTGAAATGTCTAAAATACGTCGTGGGCAACATTAAAAAAAACCGACCAGGATCTGAAAGGAGATCCTGACGAGTCAAGTCGTTATATCAATCAGCGAGACAGAAAGAGAGCACAGCTCTAAATGCCAGTGCCGTGTTTCCAGTGCTTCCGTCGAAGGTCTGGCAGCACTAGTCAACCAACAAATGCGCGGTGGAATCGACTTACAAAACGTCAGATGATGGGATCATAAGTTTACATGAACAAGGTTTAATCGTCACTCCTTTATTTCCAAGATGGAGTAAAAAACATGACGAAAATACCTTCCATCTCTCTTTTAGTTAGTCTATATTTTACTTAATCAAAACGCATGAGATAATTCTGAGTAGCGGATCCGCGGTACCATTAAGGTTGAGGGACAATCCACCACATAACCCACGTACGACAGCCTACAGCGTACGGTCTGCCTCACTACTACCTCTCTGGCTATATAAGTCATTCAAACGTCGTTTAGAATATTGAATTCTCCGTGGTAACAACGCAGGTACTCTCCTAGCTGCACGTTGTGTGCGCTTCGTGGTCGAAAAGACGTCAGAGTTCGCCTTGACGACGTTGGATGCGGGGTTTTCCGACAGAGGAACTAACTGAATCACACAGCTTCGGTGTTTTCTTCAAGTCTAGTCCGAGTTCGCCACTCCCCTCTGCTCGTTTCGTAACACGATTACATTATAGGCTATCACGACGTATTATTGTGACTTACCAAGGCCTCGAGGAAATGTTACACGAAACTTGGTTTTTCAGTTCGCACCACTGTCCAGTTTATTTAATGGTCTTCTGAAAAATCAGAAGTCTAGCTTAGGGTCCTTCGTCCTTTCCTTTAATTTTCCTCCTTCTACGAATTTGGTTCTTCCATTTATGTTCCGTGTCCATGTCCATGGGACAGAGTCCTTCAGATGCTAATCCTCGCTAAGGTAGGCGAAGTTACTACACGGCTTTTATGAAACATGAAAGTTCAGATCCATATTCACAATCACATTTGTTGTGGACACCGACTCGTTCTGCCTGTAAACCGACTGCGCCAGTGAGGCCGACGATTTTCTGCAGTAATTCTTAAATCGTGTTAACAGATGTCGCTATAATACAAAACGATTTTATTATTTATTCTACCAGACTATACGGCGCAACAGTCCAAAAGACAATCATCTTAATTTTATTTTCATCGTGTTTTGCTTGTGTATGTTAGACATGGGGTTTCTTCGTGCGGTTTACACAATTTGTAAGAAACAGCCCGTGGCGGGTTGGTGGACCGCCAAGACAAATCAGTAGTTAATCATTCTAGGGAATTGATCAACCGTAATAAACTGTGATGAGCTACCACATTCAAAGTTGTTTACTGTTCGTTTTCACGCCCTGCGTTCCTTATCGTGGTTTTATAAAAAGCCGGAGGCGAGGATGTTTTATTTCAGCGGAATAATCTAATCTCTGTAAACCGCATATCCTGAAGAAATCAAGCCGGAAATAACTGTAATAAGCAACAAACAATGCAACTTACATTGACGTAAATCATGAACCAATTTCCATTAGTAAAACCACAATTTAGATTCTCCTGGTGTGTTCGAACGATCAGGTCACAAGCACAGAGACGATCCTGTATACCAGGGGAGTGTAACCCGAGAGCCGCATGTGGCCTTCGCAACTATGTTTGAGGCCATATCAAATTAAGTTTAACAAACAATATAAGAACTACTGCGGTATTAATAAGTGAAGTTTTATAAAATTAGCAATGATTTCAAATCAAAGCTGTCTGAAAGACTAACAGCTACATTCCACAGTTTCGCTGGCTGCCGCGATATTTTTAATATCTTTGAGCGGTCTTGGACAAAGAATGGAATAGCTAATGCATTCTGCGATAACGAAAAGGTTGCCGACTTCTGCTGTATACGTCTAAATTATTACGGACAACGTTTAGCATAAATTAACGACAGTTAGAAAACCGGCTTTTACTGTTAAACGTTTTCAAAATTATGCATGGCAGTTCATTCTAAAATGATACAGTCCCTAAACATCACATTTTAAATTCGATTAACCCTTCAAAGCCTAAGTCCGTCTAAACGTTTAAAAATCCATTCCGTACCGCAAAGAAAACAAATGCAGACCATTTGTTTCCACAATCTACAAGTGTCTACAAATTCCTGTCTTAAACAGCAATAAGACACGATGTTAACACCAATAACGACGTTTATACTAGATTATTCGCATAACATTTGCATTATTTCGTAGCCTACTCTATTTTGTACTATCACGTGACAACCAACAACGCGGAAAGGTCACCACTTCTGGAGGTCAGAAGCCACCAAGTCATGCGGGCACTGAATACACGCAAATGTATGCTGTGGCTCCGAAACTGGCAAGGTATTCAGATGACCGTGGGAAATGTTCAGCGGTAATTGTATTTCTCAGGGCTGTACAAGTACGTAACGCGTGGCTCCTTCAACCAAACATCGGCAGTGCTAGAAATAACGCAATTCTTGCTTACTTCTTAAAACAGGCCGAGTACCAAAACACTGACAACGAAGTGAAGTCATTTTCATCGCATACAACAATTTTTAAAAGCTGTTCATATACTTGTCAGGCTCAGAGCCTATTTTAAGACCCCAAGTAACCAAATTATTTGGTGTGACCGTAGGCCTATGTTTATAAATATTTCTTTAAGACCCGTACAAAGACGTAGTTCGCCAATTTAACGCATACATTTGTCCACACGTGAGAAAAATTATTAGAATTTGTTTCAAATTAGCTGGCCACAAAATTCCCCGTCGTTTACGTAAGCAAAACATTATTTACCATTTTCAACTGAACCCAGACTACACACGTTTTTTAAATATTTATTTTAATAATATCATCCCATAAACGCAAACATATCCCCGGGCCAGTATTTGAACCCGGGATCTCACAAATACGAAGAAGAGGCACTAACCACGATATTCGGTGCACTTATTAGCGGGATGAGGTAGACGCGGGGGGAGGGGGGCTGTGAATTTTATGAAGCAGGACTTACCCAAACAATACAGCAGTCAAAATTTTGATGGTAAATTACTCAGTTTAGTGCCTGGGTAAAAATACGTGCGATTTGTAACAAAAGAGACAGCATTTTACAAATTCACGAATGTATCTATTATACACCCATTCTTTGTGTGGATAAAATAAAAAGGAATGAGTTACATAACCTAACTCTAACTTTAACTTAATATCGAAACGATTATAACGTCGTTTTTTCAGTGTCAGAGTCCAAACGGTCTTTCGTCTTCTGAAGGACGACTACTTACGATATATTCCAACAGAACAAGAGATGCAAATGAACAATTTGATTACACAATGTGCGTCTTAAGTGGAAACAGCCATAGTTCAACAACAGTACCATGATTAGCCGGTAGATGTCAGCAGTATACTGATATGCGTTGAGGTCGACAACTCTGTTATCAATGTGAATAACATAAGGACATGTTCGTGACCTTCACTAGTGAAATATGACGATCTGACTAACAACGATCCCTCTACCAGGGGTCCACAAGTTAATCAAAGCAACTGCGTCTTACTGTGCCTTTTTAAAACAAACAACTGCCGTGGCAGCTTAGCAGCCATCTATCGGTAGGATAAACTGACAGGTTCTGTGTCTTCGAGCTCACTATACCAGAGGTCCTCAAACTTTTATACCTTGCGCCCCCTTTAAAACATTTCATAAATTTCACGCCCCCTTCCAGAACAAGTGCAAGCAAACAGATTTTTCATAAAATTTAGCTATGAGCACACATTTTTTTATAATTTAGTATATATTATTCAATGCATTTAATTTTAAAAAAAACTGTAATAACATACACGCTCCGTACCTGGATTAGTGGGATGTATCCCTAACTGTACGTAGACTAATATTGCCGTTTACTTCCTAAAACCGCCGATGATCTACGAGTCTGAATTCTACAGCACTGTAATACAACTAAACTGCCTCAACCGAGCAAAGGATGTTAAAAATGTTTCTCCATATTTCGTTAAAAAAAAAGTTTTTCATACAAAATACACGCCCCGCAAGGGAGCGCGCCCCACACTTTGGGAACCTCTGCACTATACGCCTCCATGGTGACATGCGCATGGTTCCATAGACTTAAGAGCAAACCAACTCTACGCGTAATTTAAAACAAAAATCAAATTCAAATATTTCACAAAAAAGACATGGTTAAGGATGGGTTTTGGGCAGTGCTTTCGAGTTGATTGTCTGCAAAGACATAATCTAAGAACCAACACCAAAGAGCAGAGTCATTTAGAAGCTGATTGCCGCTCAGCTGATCACGAAATTCCCCGTATTTTATAGAAACTTTAAATGCGTCACTACGTTCACAGAACTGGACCATTTCCTGAAGGAAATAAATCCAGTCCACACCTTCACCCTTACAAAGAAGGTATCTCAAATAATTTCTTCGCTTCAGATTTTCCGACAAAAACTCTATTAAGAATGCATTTCTCATCGCCGTGTTCGTGCTACATGTCTCATACTTATTCAGTTTAACGATGCTTCTTAAAGAACATGGACCTGTGACCACAGATATCACCTCACGCATTACGCACCGATGACTTATTCAGGGTAAAATATTCTTGAACGAAAACAAACTCGCGAAACAAAAGCCGAAACATTATTACAGCAAATAATTATTCCCGACGACGGGCATTGGGCAAGGCCAGCCTAATGACGAACGGAGAGTCCCGCATGGCCACCAAAGCATCACTAAAAGCAAAACAAACACGGACAAGCACTCGTGGCTGTTAGCAAGGTTACAGAATGTCCAAGGCACTGAAAGTTCGTTCCTATTACATCAAATTTGTTCACAGCCTGAAATGCGTCTAATCCAAGATTCATCCGTAACATATAAACGCCAAGTTCACTGTCGTATTCAAAAAGACAAAGAACATTGAAGATACGTATTCTAGAAACTGGAATTCAC